GGTTCCAATGTTATTTGTTACTTCAGTTATCAATCTTTTAGTTCCTTAATTATATCTAAAGACCCCTAAAAGATCATACCTCCCTCCAACATATGAAAAATAAATGGGTATATGATTTGTATTCTCTGTATCTAATATAAGTTCCATTTTAACCTACTCTTCAACCATATAGTAATCAGAAAACAATATTTGCCTACCTTTTTTGATTATATAAAAATTTACTGGGATATTATTAACAATGTCGATTAAAGTCAAGATATTCCTAATAATTGCAAAATAATGAGCATCCAATTCCAGGTCTAAATACCATATTTAGAGGACATTCATTACAAATGCCATCCAAAGGTGTTCCATAAAAACACTAAGTACATTAATTATACTCTATGCCATTACATTAAGTGCATAAATAATGGCATTTAATTTTTGATATTAATAAATTTCTAATTGAAACCTATCCATTTCCTTCATTTGATATTGTAAATTTTATTATATTTGAATCTGATTTTTTGTAAAATAAAATTAATTGTTTTAATTTCTGCTTAGTAAGAATCACAAATGATTGAGAAGTTTTCAAACGAGTTAGGAGTTTAATATTAAAATGAAATTATTTCTGCTCCAAATTAAAATTAAATTTATCCATTTTACCAAGTACCTTATAGAATTAATTCAAATGATATGTGATTACCTTTCTCTAAACTAATTTAATTTTTCTGAGTGGCAGTAGGATAATCTCTATATAAAGTCAAGTATTTTATTTAGGGTGAATTGGATACAAGATAATTGCTATTACTTGGCCCAACTTAAGAGAATGTTGTCAAATTCTTATCATTAATCAAATTTGTATATGAACTAATCCATTGTGATAAGCATAACAAGAATTGCAAAAATAAAGCAAAAGTTTAAATCATAGAAATCTAATTAATTAATATTATGTAGAAATTATATAATTATATAAGTTAAAAGAGAGATTGAATAGTATCAACAAAATTTTTCAGATAATAAATATCCAGAATATGACGATATTATTAAAAATTAAGATATCATTGTGTTTATTTATAAAAAATATAAATTTTAATTGCATTTTTCTTTTCAACCATTTTTAGTTTCTATAATAATATTTTTACTATTATTTTCAATATGCCTATTTTATTATATTTAATCCCATATAATGAAATATCATGGAATCTCATATTACTTTACCGAAATATGCAGAACTAAAATTAAGATTTAATATAAAGTATTAACATT